CGGAGTCTGTTGAAGAATTTGATTCTAAATTGAAAGAAAACGGCGCCGAGATGCCCGATTATTTCGTTCGAACTCTTCTCACCATCATTCATGCTATTCTTCCTCCTAAACCTAACAAGGAGAAGGAGAATCAGAAGGAGACTGCTACGTCCAAGACTAAGTTTAAGGCGTTGTCGATTTCAGATGATAGGGATCGTGCTAAGGAGCTTAGGAACGAGATTGAAGCCGATGCTAGAGATAAACAGAAGCAGATGGAGCCGGAAAGGTATGAAAAAGGTTGGGATGATGATGATGGTTATAGAGATAGGCGCAGAGATAGAGAGAGATACGATAGAGATGATAAAAGGGATTATAGAAGGGGTAGTGATAGAGAAAGAGGTAGAGACAGAGATGATAGAAGGGGGAATGATAGAGACCGAGATAGGTACGAAAGAGATGATAGAAGGAGGAATGATAGAGATAGAGATAGAGATAGGTATGAAAGAGATGATAAAAGAGGGAATGATAGGGATAAATATGAGAGGAGGAGGAGGGATGGGAATGAGGAGTATGAACATGGAAGGGAGGAGAATATTGATGAGAAAGGTCGTAAAGAAAGAGATTCGAGGCGTGATGATTCTGGTGAACCTGAGCTGTATATGGTTTATAAAGGAAGAATTTCTAGGGTCATGGATACTGGCTGTTTTGTTCAGTTGGATGATTTAAGAGGGAAGGAGGGTTTGGTTCATGTTTCTCAGATGGCTACTAGGAAGATTGTTAATGCTAAGGAAGTTGTTAAAAGGGATCAGCAGGTTTATGTGAAGGTGATTTCTGTTTCTGGTTCGAAGTTAAGTCTTTCCATGAGGGATGTTGATCAGCATACCGGGAAGGATCTTCTTCCGTTGAAGAAGAGCTCAGAGGACGAGGCTTTTAGGACAAATCCACAAGATTCGAAAGATGGGCCGGTGGCTAGGACAGGCCTTTCTGGGATCAGGATTGTGGAGGAGAATGATATTGGTTCTACGCGCAGGCCGCTTAAGAGAATGAGCTCTCCTGAGATATGGGAAGCAAAACAGTTGATTGCTTCAGGGGTTTTGAGTGTTTCGGAGTATCCGACTTATGATGATGAGGGAGATGGAGTCATGTACCAAGAGGAAGGCGCTGAAGAAGAGCTTGAGATTGAGATGAATGACGATGAACCCGCTTTCTTGCAAGGGCAGAGCAGGTACTCAATGGATATGTCTCCGGTAAAAATCTTTAAGAATCCAGAAGGTTCTCTGGGTCGTGCTGCTGCGCTCCAATCCGCGCTTATAAAGGAGCGTAGGGAAGTAAGAGAACAGCAGCAGCGTACCATGCTTGATTCAATTCCAAAGGATCTCAATCGTCCTTGGGAGGACCCTATGCCAGAGTCCGGTGAAAGGCATCTTGCCCAAGAGTTGAGGGGTGTTGGCCTATCGGCCTATGATATGCCAGAATGGAAGAAAGATGCCTATGGGAAAACCATTACTTTTGGCCAAAGGTCAAAGCTTTCTATTCAGGAACAGAGGCAGAGTTTGCCAATTTACAAGTTAAAAAAAGAACTGATTCAAGCTGTCCTAGATAATCAGGTCTTGGTTGTGATTGGTGAAACTGGTTCAGGTAAGACTACGCAGGTCACCCAGTATCTTGCTGAAGCAGGTTATACCACCAGAGGTAAAATTGGATGTACTCAACCCCGTAGAGTGGCTGCAATGTCCGTTGCAAAGAGAGTTGCAGAAGAGTTTGGGTGTAGATTAGGAGAGGAAGTTGGTTATGCCATTCGGTTTGAGGATTGCACCGGACCTGATACTGTAATCAAGTACATGACTGATGGTATGCTTCTTAGGGAAATTTTGGTTGATGAGAATCTGTCACAGTATAGTGTTATAATGCTTGATGAAGCACATGAGAGAACTATTCATACTGATGTTCTTTTCGGACTGCTCAAGCAGCTGGTGAAGCGGAGACCTGAGTTGCGATTGATTGTTACATCTGCTACTCTTGATGCTGAAAAGTTTTCAGGATATTTCTTTAACTGTAACATCTTCACAATTCCTGGGAGAACTTTTCCTGTAGAGATACTCTATACCAAACAGCCCGAAAGCGATTACTTGGATGCATCTCTGATCACCGTTCTACAGATTCACTTGACAGAACCTGAAGGAGACATTCTTCTCTTCTTAACTGGTCAGGAGGAGATTGATTTTGCTTGTCAGTCTCTCTACGAGAGAATGAAGGGATTAGGTAAGAATGTCCCAGAGCTGATCATTTTACCTGTTTATAGTGCCCTTCCTAGTGAAATGCAATCTAGGATATTCGATCCCGCTCCTCCTGGGAAAAGGAAAGTGGTTGTGGCTACAAACATTGCTGAAGCTTCTTTGACTATTGATGGGATATTTTATGTTATTGATCCGGGGTTTGCTAAGCAAAATGTTTATAACCCGAAGCAAGGTCTTGATTCCTTGGTGATAACTCCAATATCACAAGCCTCAGCCAAACAAAGAGCTGGACGTGCAGGGCGTACTGGACCTGGAAAGTGCTATCGCCTCTATACTGAGAGTGCATATAGGAATGAGATGTCACCTACTTCTGTTCCAGAAATTCAAAGGATAAATCTGGGAATGACTACTCTTAGCATGAAAGCCATGGGCATAAATGATCTTCTGTCATTTGATTTTATGGACCCACCATCACCCCAAGCACTTATTTCCGCCATGGAGCAGCTTTACAGTCTTGGAGCATTGGATGAAGAGGGCCTACTAACCAAATTGGGGAGAAAAATGGCTGAATTTCCTCTGGATCCACCACTGTCCAAGATGCTACTTGCCAGTGTTGACCTTGGATGCAGTGATGAGATATTGACCATAATTGCCATGATCCAGACTGGCAACATTTTTTACAGGCCCAGGGAGAAACAGGCTCAAGCAGATCAGAAAAGGGCAAGGTTTTTCCAGCCAGAGGGTGACCATCTTACATTACTTGCTGTTTATGAATCCTGGAAAAATAAAAACTTTTCTGGACCCTGGTGTTTTGAGAATTTTGTTCAATCTCGGTCGTTGAGAAGAGCCCAGGATGTTAGGAAACAACTTCTCACCATCATGGATAAGTAAGATATCTATCTATCTATCTATTTTTATATTATCTTCTAATATTTTGCTTGCTTTATTTTTTTTCCGTTCTGTTCTCTTCATTTGTTTTAAGGCCTGTTCACTTAAATGGGAAGCCTTGTTTGTATTCAAAATATAGCAAAAAGGAAAATTTTTCTCCTTATATAGTGGATGCTTAAGTATTTTCACTTTGGCCTTTTTGTTGCCATTATTGTTACCAACGTTTTTCTGTTATCATGTGGGTGTTATGATGAAATTTTTATGACACTAGTCTTATTGTATTCTAAATCCCTAATTCTGATATTCAGGTACAAATTGGATGTTGTGAGTGCTGGAAAAAACTTCACCAAGATTCGGAAGGCTATCACTGCCGGGTTCTTTTTTCATGCCGCTAGAAAGGACCCCCAAGAAGGTTACAGAACACTAGTTGAGAATCAGCCTGTATATATCCATCCAAGTTCAGCTTTGTTCCAGAGGCAGCCAGACTGGGTCATATACCATGAGCTTGTAATGACAACTAAGGAATATATGCGTGAGGTCACAGTCATAGACCCCAAGTGGCTTGTTGAATTGGCTCCTAGATTCTTTAAAGTGGCAGATCCTACAAAGATGAGCAAACGAAAGCGCCAAGAGCGTATTGAACCACTTTATGATAGATACCACGAGCCAAATTCATGGCGTTTGAGTAAACGCCGTGCATGATATGCTTTCTCAGTTTCTCTTAATGCAAGGTTGTGGATTCAATGTATGTTGGATTTAGTATTAAATGTAAGTTTTCTGCTTATATTTATGAGTTAAATGAAATTTTGGACGTATTTTTGTTGGTGTTGCTAGTAAAACTTATGATCCATAAAGTTCCATTTTAAATATGCGATCTTATTCTTTTGACTGGCCTTTTTTCAGCCTCATCCCTCCCTCCCTCCCTCCCAATCAAACCTGGCAGAGAAGTCCGTTTTTACACAAGTTTACATATCATGCATTAGAGCTATTTTGCACTGTTGCATTAACTGTAACTTCATGAATTATGTGATTCATTTAAGTTTAGCAGAAGCTGTACTTATTTATTATAAATAGATTTCCTTTCCGATTTCACTGGTCAGAAAGCCAGATTTTGGATCAACAGAAGTATGACATGTTTGCTTCCTTTTGGACGATTTTATGAATTAAATTTTGAGTATATTTTTCGTACATGTTTTCACTTTTTATCTTTATGCTTAGTTGAAGATTTCTCTTTGACAATGAGCTGGCCTATTGATTCATGTCTTATCAACTTAACAAGCTTTTATCCTGTTTGTTTAGTTTTTTAGATGTTAGTTTCCATGATATTAGAAAAGAAGAATGAGAAGAAGAGAGTATTCATCTATAACAGAATTCTGTTACTCTGTTTTCTGATTTTTCAGTTGTTACAAAAAGGCTCCTTGATGCTTTATATACAGCATCAAGGGTAACCTGCTATTACAGGTTAGGGCATACTGTAACTTACAGTTGCCAGTCAAGGGAATAACAGTAAAGCTACTTATACAGCTACTTATACATTCAATACATGACAATTACCAGTTTGTTGGTAGCATGTAAGTAATTGGTGGCATCAGTGATAGAGCCAATAACTAAAGTAGAATAATGGAAAACCAGGGTTGATGCAACAATTGTATGTTGTTGATAACCAAAATCCTTGTCAAAATATTTAGTTAATCTGTTAGGCATTGTATTGTTCAAATATTTGTTGTCAATAGGGGGCTATAGCCCTGCTATAGCGCCAAAGCGTGATAGAGCAGCCCCTCACCGTCACATCATCTGTCTGCTAACCGCCTATCAGAGCAGCCTCTCACTGCCATGCCATCTGTCTGCTAACCGTGTGCTCTGTGTTCTTCGCATCCGCGTGTTCTGCATTTTTTTATGTTTCTTCCTGCATATTCTTCGATTGTCCTTTGCCTCTGTCTTCATGTGTTTTCTTGGTATGTGTTCTTGCTCTTCTTGCTCTTTTCTTTACTAAGGTTTGTATTTTTTTCTCTTCTTGCTCTATTGCTCTGTTGTGTTCTTCTCTTCCTCCTTTGTTCTGTACTTCTGTTTTGTACCACTCTTTGCTCTGTTTATATTTATTTTCAAGTAATTCGTTGTTCTGTTTTAAGTTTATTCTTTTTATTTTTATTTTTTAAAGTTAGTTCTTCTCAGTTTAAGTTAGTATTTTTATGGACTTTAGGTTTTGTTTGGTTACATGTTGAACTTTATTTTGATGGTATATCATTTTAATTACATTTAGAACTTCTATTGATGGGAAGTGACAAAGTTGATTATAATATTTTAAGCATGATTGTCCCTTAAATTTTGTTTATTTTTCTATTTTTGATTATTTATGCCTGTTCTTGGAATATATGTTTTTAATCTTCACAATACGGTCATCCCACTATCTGCTATAGTATTATTGGGGGTTCGGCACTACGCGCCACTATCAACATAGGTGCAGATTCAGTTTCAATTATTATTTGACCAAAGTGAATGGCAACAGTGCTTCTTCCTTGTGGTTTTGATAGAATTTACTGCTTTGGAGTTTGCCGAGTTGTGTTGTGTATCAGGTGGACAAAGCAGTTAGTATTATACTGCACAGTGTGTTATACATGCAAGTGGTCTGGTATGCATAAGCAGACGGTAAATGTTTTATGCGTCTCAATCAACTATAGAGCGATAACTGAAGTTTTAAGCTAGTATGTAAGTTAACTCATGATGTTGTCACCTGTTACTTAATTCTCCAACTATTTGTTTTGCCTTGGTGGATATGTCATCTGGTTATTAGTAATTCTGGTTGTTTTTGTAGGGTTTTCATTTATGGAAGCTAAATTTAATGGAAAAAATCAATGCTGGTATGAAATAGTGGTACCAGAGTTAATGATTTTGCTGATTGGAAATGGGATAGGGATCATTTTACTGCTGGTGATGAACTGTTATTTCATGCAACTGAGTTTTCATGTTGAGAAAACAAACATTTTATGGTTGCTAATTGATTTTACTGTCTGTGACTTTATTCTGTATCCAGGCTAAGCTTCTTAGCTGCAGTTCTACCAATTTTAGTCTTCAAGCTTTTATATTAAAGTCATTTCTACATGATCTTTGGATCTGATCAATGTCCATTCCATATGACATAATAAAACTGGTTTTATATGAAGCATTAGGTGTCAATTATTGTTGTAATTTGAACTTTTTTTAGGTCTCATTATTATTTGCATATTAGATGAGCCGTTATTTTTTTAATTATTTATTATATTTACATGGGGCACTCTTGCAAAACACCCCGAAGTAATAGTTTATTTAAATAAACTGTAATAAAAACTATAGTTAAACATTATATTTTTGCAAAAGACATTTTCAGTTGAAAATTATTTTTAGGGCTATTCTTCATCACTACCATATTAATATTCTATTGCATTGCTCCTTCAATATTTTTTCCACTTCCAATGCAATCAAATCATTTTTTTTTTATATACTCTCCTTTTCATGTTTTCGGTTTAATATTTTGTATGCATGCTACTTTCTGTATCTTTTCAATTTTTCAATGTTTCTCCTGATTTTTTCAGCTTAATCCTTCTTATTCAATAGTAATAATACAAGTCACCTTCTGTTTTAGTTTTGTAAGAATGCTTTTGTTTATGAAAGTTCGATGTGTATTTTTCAGTCTTTCATCTTTAAAATTATGTGAGTAACAACTATTCATGATTTGTTTTAAATATTTGGTTTATTTTTGTGCAGGTTTCAGTTCATTAATAGACTGATGGAACATCACAATATAGAAATCCCTAAATAAGAATTTAAGGAAATCAAAATCCAATTGAATACCTGCATAACTGTGAATGTTCAAGTGTGTGATAGTGATGAAGGAACAGAGTTTTTGTTTTTTAATAATACATGTACTCAGTTGTCGGCTATATCAGCTAAAGAAACACATTTGAGGAAGAGACATGAACTAGTAAAAAAGATAACCAAGTGATGGATTTTTTTTAGTCCTAAAGTTTTGAGGTAATTACAAAAAAAGAAAGAAAGAAGCAATTTGTTTTATACTCAACCTCATTTCCAATTGATAACATATCCGTCACACAACTTTCATCTACTAAGTCAAAGAAACACATTAAGAAAGTAAAATGATTGACAACTCCACTTAATGTTAAGTGTTGTTGTTGAATTGATATTGAAATTAGGTTTTTTAGTATGTTAGAATAGCTATGACAAAGTGGATTTTACTAGAATGTTAGTGATTAAGAGATTAATTTATGAGATTAATATTAGACTTTTTGTTGGAAATATTGATTAGATGGATTTGAAAAGAAATTTCTGTTAAATTGTTGGTTGTGAGAAAAGAAATAAGGTAAAAGTCTACAACTCAAAGTTGAGATACCCTGTTAATATGTTGCTCCTAACTTTTGTTATAGAAGTCAACTAAATGTGAAACGCCATTAGAAAATAGACGCAAATTTTCACAAAATAGGCTCTTAAATGAGTTAAATAGATTAAATATAGAATGAGATATATTGATTCCAAGTTAAATAATTGAAATTTGAATTCTGTTTGTAACATACATTAGTAATTTGAAGTTGAAGCTAACTCTATACTTGGAATCTAGAATTTGTTGATCCTTATATTTTAAGAAATTAGACTGAATTTTTCGCATATAAGACTCTAGAAGTTTCAAAATTCATCAAGTAGAGTAGAAGTAATATTTGTTGCAAGTCCAATAAAATTGCTTAACATAATTTTTTTTTCCTATTCCCACTCTTTATTTAAATTGAACCAATTGGATGAGTAAGTCCTATACAAAATTAATAGAGATACTCAACTTTTTAGGGAATATTTGTTTACTATAAAATTCTACTTCGGTTGCTATTTTAATTCATTTGTCGAAGTTGAGGTATGCTTAACTAAGAACGGAATTTCGGGAGTGATTTGTTAGATCATGTAAAACAATTGTTGATATAGAATAAATACATGATGCTACACAGGTTTCATGTTTAGATGTAAAAGTCTCAAACAAATCAAATAGTCTTAAGTATATGGCGGTGATTATCTTGTTGTATATTTCATATGCTTAGTAAATGTTATTTGTCGAGAGTGACATTAGAATCACAAGTATCAATTATTTATGAAAAATATTTATTAATAAGAAATATGAAAGTAAGAAAGATAAAGAATTAATTCTTAACTATTCATTATTTCACTATTTTAAAAATTTTATTAAAATTTTTATTTAATTAAATTTTAAAATTACTTTTAAAAATATTTTTGTTTTTCTTATTTAAATGATTCTTATTCTATCACTCATTATTATATCGAATAATAATATTTTAATCGTAAATTGAATCCAATCTCAGTACAAAATCAAATTAATTTAGTTACTTAATAATTTAAAAGTTATTAATTTATTTATAAAATTATTTTGAAAACTGTTATAAGTAATTTTCTAATAATATTTATTCATTTTAAATTTATTTAAATTTATAGATAAATTAAAAATTTTAAATAACAAACTTATTACATTGATACTATTTTAATAACTAAATTGTCCATAACTTTAAAGTTATTTAAAATCATTTAAAGTTATAGATAAATTGATACTATTTAAATAATTAAAATATCAAATCGTTAGTATTTTAACAATTAAATCATCTATAAATTTAATTATATTTTTGATCGTACCTGATCAGAACGGATCGTCAAGGTCTTACGTCGAGCCGAGGTTAAAAGCGAGATGGAAGGATACCTGCAAGGCACTCTGATATCAAAGTAAGTTTTAAGGAGAGTGTAAGCAAGTACGAGTATGAATATGAGAGAATAAATATCCGACCCTTTTGAATGAGAGAGTATTTATAGCCCTCAACATTGGGTCAAAGTCCCTAATGTTGGGTCACGATGAGGCCCAACAATGAAGACTGCCAGGGCTTACGTGTATATGGAGTCCAGTACGTGAACTCCCCCCTGATCAACTGCCACATAAGAATATGTGTTGGACCCGTGATTTTCGGAGGGCAGTTATGATAATAATGATACGGATACGTGGGCCACGTTCCCCGACGGACGCGTGGGGAATTGCGTAACGATCTCCAGCTTGGGTTGCTTGCCTTTGGCCTTATGCAAGGGTGTTGGATTGAGCCTCCCAACAGTGGGACAAGTGCAGACTCAGTCCATATCAGGAGCCCCTAAATTATTGCCCTTAGGTAAAAGGGTGATGACTTAAGTTCAGCCTTATGGCCGGGGAGAATTTGCTCGAGAAGGGAGGTCAAAGTCCTCTAACAGAAATAAGTTGTTGCCCGTGTTGGGGACAACCTGTTTGACCATGTCGAGGATCTTGTGGACAAGCGACCTGCGAGACTAACTAGGTTAGTTGTTCGTCTAATGTTCGACGTGAGTATATAAGCTACGGGGAGCTTCCACGAACTCTTTTTCGACGTGTCTGTCTTCAAGGGGTTGTCACGATATCGAGCATTATTTCGCCATCAAGGTGGATCGCGATGAATATGCCTGTATGCATGCTTTAGCCATGGTGTCGAGCATTCCTTCGCGTGAGGCGTCTACCTCGTGCTCGCATACGGAGTTTTATGTTAAAGTCGGGAACGCATTCGTCTCTCGAGAATGGATATGTGGCTGATTGTTGGACCACGTGGTTGTTGCTTTGGGCTATCATCTTTTCATGGGGAGTCCAAAAGGCTCAATCCAATGATGAATTTTAGTGAAGAACCTCATGGGGTGTGAGCCTCCTATAAAAAGGGGGACCCCAGGGTTTCATTTATTATTTCTCAAATTTTCTTCTGCAACTTTCCTTGTTCGCGCGTGGATCTTCTCCTCCCAGCTTCTTCAGATTTCTTCCAAGTATCCTTCATCCAAGTAAGTCATATGCCCTTAATAACATGTTTCCTTAGTGTTTCTAGATTAAACACCTAGTTTTTGCCTTGACTGGATGAATCTTGGATGAATATTCATGAGTTCTAGGATGAACACTCATGATTGTTCATTGAAGTTCACGAGTTTTGATTTTCGTGATATCAGGGGCAATCTCCCCGAATAGTGGGGGTTGACTCGGGCTTCTTGCCCGTTTGACTAGATATCCCTAATAGAAGTGTAGTCCGTTTTAGTGTGTAGTCCATGGCTTAGGTCGAGGTCCGCTCCTCGACCGCTTCATCGCCTTTTCACTTGATATGCGGTGGAAGGGTGAATTTGATAATGCCTAATTCACAGTTTCCCCTGCTTTTTAGGTATAATGGCACATTCGGCCGGGGATGATGTCTTGCCCGCCATCCACGAAGATGAAACCATCGTCGAGGAGAACCCCTTGGCCTGGGTCGCGCCTGAGCCTCGAAATAAAAGGTTGTGCTTTTCGCATGATGCAACAGACGCGTTCAACTGTCCAGAGGTTCGAGTTGAAGGGGCCCCTGCCAACTGGATTCTCCAAATTCCTCACCACAATCGAAGGATCTGCTCGATATATCCGAGAAAATGTTTTCCCATGTACGAGTCCGCATTCAAAGAGGCGGGGATGCGTTTTCCCTTCAAGTGGGGGTTTTCCAATGGCTTCAATTTGCGCCCTCTCAACTTCACCCAAACACGCTGGCGTTAATGCGGGTGTTCGAACTTGTCTTCCAGTATCTGCAAATAGGCGCTACGCTGCCTCTTTTCTCTGTATATTTCACCTACAAAGGCAATCCATTGGAGGAGGGCAAGTATGGGTGTCCTTCAAAGAGTTTGGGAAACTCTTTATGCCTTATATGGAGTCTGTCAGTCACTTCAAAGAGAGGTACTTTGTTGTGAAACCTTTGATGGACGCGGCCATAGACTCCCTGTATACCCGCGTGGAAGAGGTGAAAGATGGGCGACCAGTTATCCGGCTCGTGGCTAGATTTCCGCTCGAATGGCAATGGAAACATTTTGAGTAGAAGCCTAAGTATTATGCTGTAAAGCCTGAGGATTTGGACGCTCAGGACCAACTCTTCTATGAGAAGCTGGCGGCCTACGTTAGGAGCTTCTCCCCAGCGAGGTGTGTGGATGTGAACAACAACCTCCTCTTCAACAACAACGAGGAGTACCTCTTAGTTAATAGATTTATCAACACAAAGGATTTGCTCAAATGTTCCTCAGACG